GCACTATTACTTCCCTTGATCTAGATACTATACATCTATTGATGCAGCTTGAAATCACATTGGCCTTTTTCGCTGCCGCATCACACTGTTGACTCATGTTCAACTTGTGGTCTACTAGGACTCCTAGATGCCTTTCACACTAGTTTCATTAAGCCAGGTGCCCCCCATCCTATATCATAACTGTCCATCAGTACATTTACCTGTTACACTCCAACTATAACAAGATATCTACATACAAATATAAAATACCTATCAAACACTATTTATCCTATCAAATGATGTATGTAACCTATATATAACCTATTACCAATCCTGTCATGTTACTTCTTTTATTGTATATTATATATTCCATTTACTCTTCTCCACTCATACCTATACCTTCTACAATGTATATCCACTCTCTTTCTTTTTCCTTCTTTCTTCCATCTCTTGCTTGCCTCTTCCTTCCACTCCTTCCATTCTATACTCCATGCCATATTCCTACATCCGTTTCTACTTCCTAACATCTCCTTCTCATCCCCTTCTATTCCATCCTTTAATCCACCCAATCTAACCTAACTCCTACTCAGACCTTCTTTTCACCTATACATGCCCTCTACACCTATGTTACCTTTCTCCTCCAATAATTTTCCTTTCTACATCAACTAGTATTTCTCTATATTATTTTAAATTTATAATCTATCTTCCATCTAATACAAGACATCCAATATCATTATTTAACACAAGACTGACTCAAACAAAATAACATAATAAAAAAAATATATATACCGTATATTGACTTCCTTCCTAAATTTAGTTTTTATTGAATTTAATTGAACTGTCTTTCTCTTTATCTTTACCTGCCATTCTATCATGGTCTAAATAATCAAGCTATACCTTTATTTTGATGCCACACAGTAACCTTAGGTATTTGTATTGATCTATTTGCTTTGCAGCTTTCATCCAAAAGAAATTATTTCTGTGTAATTACCTCTATTTGTGTCTTCTTTTCTCTTTCCAGGACCCTTCCAAGGGAGAAGCAGAGGAAGCAAAGATGGAGGCAGCTCTCCCCACTTTTCCTCTCCCTTTGGGTGGAATGGCAGCCACAAGGCTCACCAAAGCTGGGTCCACACTGCAGAAATAATCCGGGTTAACACCGCTTCAACTGCCAGGGCTCAATACTATGGAATTCTGGGATTGATAGTTTGTTATGGCACCAGAGCTCTCTAACAGAGAAGGCTACATATCTCACAAAACTACACATCCCAGAATTTCATTGCACTGAGCCCTGGCAGTTAAAGTGATGTCAAACTGGATTATTTCTGTAGCACGGATGCAGCTTAAGCCTTGCCTGGAGCAGTCTGGGTCTTCTTGCTCACTCTTTCCTGGGATGAGTCCCTTCCTTCTTGTTTTGGCAGAACTCAGGATGCATCCACAATGCAGAAATAATCCAGTTTGGCACTACCTTGACTGCCATGGCTCAATGCTATAGATTTCTGGGAATTCTAGTTTGTTGTGGCACCAGAGTTTTGTAGATGATGCCAACTTGGAGAGGTAGCCCAGAGGAAAGGATCAAAATTCAGAATGACCTGAATAGATTAGAAAGCTGAGCCAAAACTAACACAATGAACGTCAACAGGGAAAATGTACTGCACTTAGGCAGGGAAAAAAATGAAATGCACAGATATAGAGGATGAGGTTGATGATAACCTTTGCTCTGGTGCCACAACAGACTACAATTCCCAGAATTCCATAGCATTGAGGCCTGGCAGTCAAAGTGGTGTCAACCTGAATTATTTTTGCAGGGAGAGCTGATGAGCTGGACAGGTGACAGTCTTTTGACTGCTCTCTTCCATGTCGGAAGCCCAGAGAGAAGCATTGGTAGGAGAACATCATGTTTTCCTACCTTGAGATGCTCAATCAGATCCTTTTTCTAGATGGCATGGCAGCAGTGATTCTGCACAGTGGCTACCATAATTGGTTGTGAAACCTAATGCAAAATATGATAGCCCTGTGATACAATAGCCCTTTTTAAGTATTTGAAGAAGTGTCATACTGAGGATGGAGCAAACTTATTTTCTGCTGCTCCAGAGACTAGAACACAGAACAATGGATGCAAGCTCCAGGAAAAGAGATTCCACCTCAACATTAGGAGGAACTTCTTGACAGTGAGAACTATCCGACCGTGGAGCACACTCCCTCGGAGAGTGGTGGAGTCTCCTTCCTTGGAGGTCTTTAAACTGAGGTTGGATGGCCATCTGTCAGGGATGCTTTGATGGAGAGTCCTTGCATGACAGGGGCTTAGAGTTTTTGGTGTCTTCCAACTCTATGATTCTATGAGAATATGTTCTCCTTCCTGCCATCACAAATTAGAAAAATGATGCACCAGTATCCGTCATTATTGAGAATGCCAGTTTCCATGTTCTGGTTCTTACACCACTTTGCATCTGGAGACCTCAACATCTTGCAACATCTTGGCCTCCTTTTGATTGACCTAATAATAATATTTCATTAATATGGATTAAAGATACTTTTATTAGACTCTGCTAGAAAATATAGACCTTTCTCTGAGCTTTCCCAAAACAAATGAGGGGAAATGAAGGTTAGTTGCAAGGAAGACAGGTCTTCTCCTCCAGGCTAGCTAAGAACAGGGAGAAGGACCACTGAGTTATGCTGGAGAACCAGAAGTTCCTAGAGAAAAGATCTCTCTAGGAATTTGTAGCTCCTCCAGCATGAGTCTCTGAGCAACTTCTTGCAGATGTTAGCCATAGAGTTGCACTGGAGGACCTGAAGATTACTAAAGATGTGTTCTCTGAGGTAAAAAGAATAGTGATTTTTTTTTAAATTTGCAGTTTTTCCATATTCACAAGGGTCCTGTGCTCCTAAAGTGGCCTCAATTTGCACTATTTCTGAAAGAAATTGGCAACAAGAGCTTTTGTAGACTGAAATCTACTTCCTCAGATGCATCCACACCTATGTTATGTGCAAGTATGCACATAGTACAGATCTAACCTGAATTCTCCCTGGAAGACAAGATGGCCAATGTAGCCAAAAATCTAGAATGGGGAACTTTATTTAGCTCAAACTGAGAAGGGGTCGGCTACAAGGACCCTGTGAGACCGTCTCCCACTTGTATACCAGGAGTACAGTGGATCTAAGAATTGATGCAGAGACAGAATTCTCCAATTGAAGTATTATTTATTAAAGGGGGAAAATCACACAGCAATTCAAACACATACACTCACTCATTCAAGGCTCACGAAATCAGGGGTTAGCTTGGAAAAAAATGTTGAGGCAAAACTACGGGTGATACTCTGGGATCCAATTGAGTGAAGTGGCGTGGGACACAACTGTCCCGAGAGCATTGGTCTGAACGGAAGTGCCGGTCACTAGACTAGAGATCACAGTGACGTACTATCCCCATGAATTCCAAACTAGCAACACCGAAGAGGGAAATCCAGGGGTTTTTAGGGGCTAAAGCTAGCTGCAGAGCAAAGGTGTGAGATTGTATGGGTGAGGTAATCCAGTCTGGCAATATTCAAGGTGAATGGGAAAATATTAAGTCATTAGCTGGCCCATCGGGTGAGATATCTAGGCCATTATCGTCCATTCTTCTGATTATGGGGGTGATGATGGTCCATTTGCAACTCCCATACTATCTACATGGCTTTGAGATGGTTTCTTCCAAGTGACCTTGGTATGACCTGCCAGTCATCGCCCAGGTGGCACTTGGGGTCAACTGCAGGGTACATTTGGGGTTATGTGGAATTCATACACACACCAACATTCAGAAAAATGCACTTTGTCTAACACCAATTTGAGCTTGTCATGTTTTGGCCACGTGATGAGAAGGCATGATGCTGGGAAAGGTGGAGGGCAGAGGAAAGAGAGGAAGGCTGCATGCCAGATGGATGGACTGTTTTAGGAAGGTAACAAGCATGAATGTGCAGGACCTGAGCAGAGTTGTGAAGGACAGAGGGGCTTGGAGATGTCCCATTCATAAGTTGCCATGAGTCTGGGACAGTGGGCCTTGATTCTTAGGGGGGTTGCAGACTGCCAGAAATAGTGCAAATTGAGTCCACTTTTAGGGTTAGGGTTAGGGAATCATGGGAACTGTATTTTATTGTGGCACCAGAGCTCTCTGACAGAGAGGGCTCAATGTCTCTGAAAAAAGAAACAATTCCCATGATTCCCTAGCACTAACCCTAACCCTAAAAGTGGACTCAATTTGCACTATTTCTGGCAGTCTGCAACCCCCCTAGTAACTATCCATACTGTTAACCGCTTGGTATTGCAAAGTGATTTCTTGTCACAATCTGATATGTGGTTACTCAGGCATTTTAATGTACATGGAGTTCAACATGGTTTATTCTCAGAAAAAGAGTGCCTAGGTTTGCAATTTTATTGGTTTGCAAGCACCACCATTGCATTATTGATGGACTGCAGCAGTCTTCCTTCGGCCCCAATACACCATTAAGAACAAAAGAAAACAATTCTCCAGAAGTTTCCTGAACCCATTGTCCCTTGTGCAGAGAACAAAGGTCCAAAACACACTGCAGAAATAATCCATTTTGAGACCACTTTAACTGCCCTGTCTCAGTGCTACGGAATCTTGGGAATTGTAGTTTATTGTGGCACCAGAGCTCTCCAACAGAGAAGACTAAACATCTCACAAAAAAACAGTTCCCAGAATGCCTAGCACTGAGCCAAGGCAGTTAAGCACATAACACTCTGCTTCTGGAACAGTGAGATGGAACGGGCGAAAAGAAAGAAAAATAAACATTTCTTGGCCATTTCTTCTGCTTTTCCCAGACTGGAATAAAGTAGCCAGCATGGCATAGTGGTTTGAACATTGGACTGCAACTCTGGAAGACCAGGGTTCGAATCCCAGTTCAGCCATGCAAACTCCCGGGATGACCAAGTCACGCTCTCTCAGCCTCAGAGGATGACCATGCCAAAGCCCCTCTGAAGAAACTTGCTAAGAAAACCCCACAACAGGATCGCCTTAAGCCAGAAACACCATGGAGGCACACAAGTAGGGCTATCCCCTTTCCTCTCCAATAAACCAAAACACTTATTTTCATTATCACAAAAAGTCAGCATGGGTTTCTGAGAAACAAGTCACACCATACTAATCTGATCTCATTTTTTGATAAAATTACCAGCTTGGTAGACAAA